GTGACCAGACAAGGAACTGATTGCAAGTATTATTTATTATGAACTATTTATACAGCATTGGCCAAGGTACCATGTAAAAGATGAGTGTGAGAGTAAGAATTCTCTTTTCTTTCTATCCTCCTTTCCATTTTGTGCATCTAAGCCTCAAAGTCCCCAGGAAAAATTCATCCTTTGAGAACAAGATACTGACTGCAGTTCATCAAACTTGATTGTCCCAAAATGAAATCTCTCATTTTGCTCCAATGTTTAGGTTGTCTGAAATATAAACATCTTTATAACTGCCCTTGAAGTCTCTGTCTCTTTTTCTTTTTTTTAAGAGAAGAAAAAAAATCCCACGATAACTGAAGCTTACAAAGATTTCTTCTCCCTCGTGCACATCATACACAGAAGATGTGGCTTGCAGATAAAGTCTGTTTTGAAACAGTAAGCTTTGTTTGCAGCCTTTTAGGAACTGAGGAATTCCGATTTTCTTCTCCAGAAAGTTGAAAAGAACAAGTTTAAGCCACAATAATTGTTTACAGGTATTAGCTTACTGGGGCTATATAACAACGAGAAAGTATTGAAATGATGGAAAACGGTTAAAATTTTAAAAGCCAGTTTTTTTCCCTTGCAAGGGGATAAGATGAGTAAAGTGTTTGAGTTATACATAAGGGATTGCCTGTTAAAGCCTTGAAAGGGTAATATCAAGGAACAGTAAGGTATCTGATAAGCTAACAAAACCTTTTAAAAATTATGAGATCCAGCTTTATTTTTATCAAAATGAAACTTGAAGGTATGGCTCAGGTGGCAAAGCCATTAGCCTTTGAGCAAAAGCTTCAGACCCTGAGTTCAAGTTTTGGTCCTAGAACAATAAAAACTTGAGAAACAATGCCTCCTTTATTAATATTAATAACCTGATACTTTTGTGGTATTTCTTTTGCTTAAAAAATGTTATTTCCTTCTAAACTTTAAAATCCAGATGGTTGAAAATTGAAAAGCTTCAAATTGCTGAAGCACTAGCTAATTTCTACTTACTCTTAAGGATTCCTTATTAGCTGACTTTTATTTATGGCTTGTTGTGTTACTTTCAAGAAAATACAGTAGACATCTCTAGTAAGCCTTTTCACAGGCTTCAGGATTTTTAAAAAGTGGCCGGGCACTAGTGACTCATGCCTATAATCCTAGTGACTGACTCAGGAAGCTGAGATCTGAAGACTGAAATTCTAAGCCAGCCTGAGTGGAAGTCAATGAGATTATTACTTTTCAAATTATCATTGAAAACAGCTGGAAGTGAAACTATGGCTCAAGTGGTAGAACACTAGCCTTGAGCAATAAAGCTAAGGGACAGGACTCTAAGGGCCCTGGTTTCAAGCCACAGTACTGGCAGAAAGGAAGGAAGGAAGGAAGGAAGAAAAGAAGGAAGGAAGGAAAGAAGGAAGGAAGGAATGAAGGAAGGAAGGAAGGAAGGGAGGGAAGAAAGGAGGAAGGGAGGAAGGGAGGGAGGGAGGAAAGGAGAGAGGGATGGAGGGAGGGAGGGAGGAAAGGAGAGAGGGATGGAGGGAAGGAAGAAAGGAAGGAAGGAAGGAAGGAGGGAAGGAGAGGGAGGGAGGGAAGGAAGGAAGGGTATTTTAAAAAGTACATGTGGGCTAGCTCAAAGAAACATAGGTCCCATAGTTTCCCTTATTTGCAATAACTAGTATATATCTGAGACAAGCAGAAAAGCTCAGATAAGTTGATGTTAAATGAAATGAACCCCAAGATGAACACAAGTGGTTTTTTCTTTGTTGCTATTGTTTCTAACGTATTTATAAGGTACCACATGATTTTTTTGTTGCTTTGTATGTCCCTCCCCCACGGTATAACCCACTTTCACTGTATTTGATGTTAGTATAATTTGGGGAGTGAAAGGGAAAAAACAAATTATTTTTAAAAAATACAATAATAAAATAATTTTTTTAAAGAAGCATATGTGAGCTGGGTGCCAGTGGCTCACATCTGTAATCCTAGCTACTCAGGAGGCTGAGATTTGAGGATCATGATTCAAAAGCAGCCTGTGCAGGAAAGTCCTTGAGACTCACATCTCCAATTACCCACCAGACAACCAGAAATGGTGCTGTGGCTCAAGTGGTAGAGCGCTTGCCCTGAGCTGAAATGCTGAGGGATAGCACTTAGGCCCAGAGTTCAAGCCCCATGAACAACAGGAAAAAAAAAAGTACATGTGCATATTGTTAACTTATAGAATTAAACTTTGAAGGGATGGTTAATAGTATTGTGGGACACATTTGAGGTTTGAAAGTGATGGCACTTGGTAAATTTTTCCATACAAGTGTTTCCCTTAAACTGCTATAAACTTATAAAAAGTGGCATCTTTGAAGTTCTGGAGAGATTTTTAGAAGTTGATGGCATACTTTATTAAAGTCGCTGCAATATCATATTCATCTGACAAGGAAAGTTGTTCTATCACTGCTTAGTGACAAAATTTAGCAATGACTATTCAATCTCTCTTAACGAAAAGAAGTTCTTATTTTAAGAACATGTAATGAATGTACCTTAGGACAAAATGGTAGCAGTCTCAAGAGATTAAAAAAATTATTAGCCCCAAATAAGTCAAAACATAATTCTTTAGGAATATAATTCTGACACTTACATAATTACAAATCTATCATAAAGTTCTTGCAGATTTTAGGGAAGAGATACTTCTTATTAGTCCATTTCCCTAGATGGGGAAACTAGACAAACAGATTAATCAGCCCAATGAGGAACCTGGAACAGAGACTCTAAATCTCCTTATACATGGCTCAACCCTTTTCTTTACAAGTAACATATTTACTTGTGGTAAAGTTTTACCACCTCAGAAGGAAAATCTGAATACAACCTGTCAAAGTACTTTTGATATAGAAAGGGAATGAGCCTGATTTAACCCAGATTGCCATGTGGAAAAGACATCTGGGAGAGTGGTCTAAAAGAAACAGATGACAAAGGAAGAGATTTCTTTTGAACACAGTATAAAATTTACATTATCCTCCACAAACTTCCATATAGTCACTCTGTTTATATAATTCATTACTGTGTCTTGAGATCATATAAATTAGGTAGTCCAATGAGCTTGTGATCTTTTTTTTCCCTTCTAATTCTACATCTGAGATTTTCTTTCCTCTAAAGGGCAAATTTGGAGCAGGCTATGTTAAACAGCCAGACTGATCAGTGATAATCAATTTAACTCACTTGACACTTCTTTTTCAGATTGTTGATTTTCTTGGGGAAATATGTGTTATATCACTTGTGTTATATCTTACAGTATGAAAGGCCAATTTATATCAGTTACAGATATACTAATAATCTCTACCTAAGATGTATCTATCTCTGCCTCTTTAGTTTTATATGTGTAATTCATCTGTCTATAATATCTTTTCATTATATCAGTTTCTTTATATCAATAAGAATAATAATTCTACTCTTCAGGAAATCATACCCATAGTAACTTATGACGTTCTGTTCCTTCATCTGTATCTGCTATGTCTCTCATGTTCAAATATATTCTCAAGTTTTCTTCACTCTGTAGGTTCATCACTGGCTGCCAATTAATTCCATCTACAGAGTTCATAGAAAATGCTGCAGCTTAGCCTTCCAAACAAAATCACTGGGATTGGCGGGTGGGTCCAATCATATGCAGGTAAGTTTAACAACTTCTCTGCAATTTCCATATGATAAATATTCTCACCAGAGAGACTTTAGCTTACCTTGATGTCAAACTTGACATCACTGAACAAACAATTCAAGAGAGATGATCACAATTGCCCACAAGTGTACTGGAATTATTATATATAATAAGATGTACACATATATACATGTGTGTGTAAACATTAAGTGATTCTAATATGTAGCCAGAGTTAAGAACCTCTAAATTAGAGGTTGCACATTTTTCTGATGTATGGCCCTTTTTCCTTGTTTAACACACTTTCCCTACATCACCAGGAATAGACATTGAATCAATGCCATTAACAAACCACATAAGGTTATTAATCTATAGCTCACAGAATACAATGCACCAGTAAAACAGAAGACATAAGACTGTCCAGATAGACTTTTCCTAGCAACACAACATTGTCCTTGGAGAATAAAATACAAGGTACATTTTTAAAGACCTCTAAGGGAAATAAAATCTTCTCTATATATTTTAAATTATATGAAAAAGACCTACACAAGACTTGATAACTCATGCTACTGCCTAAAACTGACTTCAGTAGGTCCTGCTCAGATGTCTTGAGTGTCTATTTAAATTTCCAAAAGAAAAAACTCAATTTTGAAGGACACCCTTAATATTTTAATAGTTTACCTTCTTGATAATCACAATTGACTTATTCTTCCATTTTGTTTTCTTCAGGATATACTTCCTCAACAAATAGGAACTTTATACTTCTATGTACAGACTGTAGTTAGGACCAAGGTATTCCAGGCCATATTGAACAAAGAAAGTAAAGCTAGTTTCTAAGTTGTCAAAGACTTTAGAGACTATAATTTTTAAGCAAGACCTAAGAGTTCACTAAATATAAAAATTAATGTAATCCCCTACTTTCTCAGATTTGTTGGTGGCATTTTATGATAATCAAATATTACAGAGTAATTCAATGAACAGATATATATTTCAATCATAAGTCGAGAACCAATTTGCAATTTGTAAATTCTCTACCAAGTCAGAGGAATATAAACAGTCTGGGTGAAAGGACAAAATTTGATGCTTAAGAACACTTAAAGGAAACAAACATTTATTTAACTTACTTAAATTAAGTAAGTTTTATTCTTACAGCATTTATATTTGCTTTTATGCTGAAGATCTGGGAGGGTTGGAAGGACATTCTCACCCTGACACAATCCTGACACTCTCAGGCCTGACTTTGAAGGAAAGAGCAAAATTTCAAGATTATTTCCAAGCCAACACAGTCAAAATTAGAAACATATTAATTAAAGGTTGAACTTTTTATGTTAGTTGGGGAGGAGGAATCATAATGACCATCTTTTACCTGAGCAGGCTTCTTCTGAACAACTTGTTGTGGCTAAAGAAGGAAAAGACAAAAAGAAATGTTATATTTTAAAAAGAAATACAATGAAAAAGTAGATATACAGATTAAGTATACAAACTAGCATACAATTTGAAAGTTCAATAGTTCATATAAGGATGTTTTAGTTGTTAAGGGAAAAGCATCCCAACACGCTATTTAAGGCTAGTATGCGTGCTGACTATATTAAAACAAACACTATCTGAATAACTTTGTTTTGAAGCAGCATATTGCAAACCTTGAAGAGAAAAAGGATCTAATTCTAATATCTTATTTTTTCATAAAAAGCTTGACTAAGACCAAATTTATATACCCACATACATCATTCATTTAAAAAATATAATTTAAAGGATGCTTTTTAAGTAGATTCAGAGCACTGTGCAACTATCACTACAATCTAATTTTAGTACATTCTTCCCTAAAAGAAGCCCTATACTTATTAGTGGCCATTTCTAGTCCCAGTCCCATTGCCATTGCCAAGTGACCAATAACATACTGTCTGTGTGAATTTGCCTATCTCCAATATTTCATGTTAGGGAAACAAAGAGGCAATCTTTCGTATCTGGCTTCTTCCATTAGTATGATGCTTTAGTATCACTCATATTGTAGCATCAGTAGTTCATTCCTTTTTCTGCCACAGAGTATTTCCTTGGAGTTGATGGCCATTTGGGTAATTTTGCCTTTTGCATATTATGAGTCATCCCATTATGTAATTAAAAAATGTTTTTTTTATTATCATTTCTTGTGGGCAAAATCTTGGGAGTGGAATTGCTGGGTTATACAGAATTTTTGTTTTTGAGCAGCTACCAGATGTTTTCCAAAGCAGGTGCACAATTTCATAGCCCAACAAGCAATACAGGAGAATTTTACCAAAGCTGAGAGGCTAGTGTTCTACCACTTAAGTCATTCCTCCAGCCTTTTTTATTGTTAGTGGTTTTCAAAAACAGGGTCTCAAGAACTTTTCATCCTGGGCTGGTCTTGAACTGAGATTCATCAACTCTCAGCCTCCTGAAAACCAAGGATTACAGGCATGAGCCACTGGAATCTTCCTGTCTGTCTTTTCTATTTATAGGCTTTGAACTGGGGGTAAAGTTACATGCCTTTGCTCAGATTCTAATTTCCCTTGCAATTAATTACGTAAAGTATTTTAAATGTGCTTATTGGCCATGTGTATGTCTTTTAATGGGGAAAAAGTTTAGTCACATGCTTTGCTCTTCTTTTCACCATTGAGTCATAAGAGTTCTTTTATGCCCTGGATACAAGTCATTTATCGTACATATAATTTGCAAATCTTTTCTCCCTTTCTGTAAGTTCACTTAATTCTTGATAGTATGAAGAATACTCTATTGTATCTACTTCTATCTATATTGAATTGTAAAAACAAAAAAAACAAAGAAAAACCCCTCTTATTTTGAGTGAAACATTCAAGAGAAATAGTTTCTGTAGCCAAGATTAGTTTTTTAATAGAGAATTAAAAACATTTGTTTTCCTCTAGAATTGCAAAATGTGCAACTGAAGAAGCTTTTTGATACGTTTTGGAATGCAAGTCTTTCTTACACCATTATCTACCAACCAACAAGATTTGCCAGTAGGAATTGAGTCACCCTGATGTGGAGTATCATGCTTCCATGAAAGAAAAGAAATCTCTACTGTTCTTCAAAACACAGAAGTCAGAGTAAATTCTTTGCATTCATTTTTCCTTCCTTAGAATTTCTGGGGTGCTATGATGTTTTATCACTGGCATATGAAATACATTAAACACATCAAATAAAAATTCAGTGAGGTTTTTTTTCACGTCATATAAAAATTCAGTGAGTTTTTTTCCTTTTGTTAAAAAAATGAGCACATAAAAATAAAAGGAAATAAAATAAAATAAAATGCTTACTGAAAAAGGAAGTTCTTCCCTCTGTCTTTAAATGATTATAGAAATGACATCATCATCAAAGCCCAGGATCTGAGATGATGTTTTCTCCAGGTGGAATCAACCCAGGGCTGACTAAGACTTCTTGCCTCTTAGGACTCTAAAGCGTGATCTGAGAGAGTATTCATTTCAAAAGGGTCATTTGTAAGAACCAACTGCTTTTCTTCTTCCTCTTTTTTTCCTGCCGATTACACCTGTACACATGTTTACACTCAAAGCGTTTCAAATCCACACACATTCTTGCAGGCTGACTGCTTCCTCCTGCTTAGAACCTCCACCTTCCTTTTTTTTTTTTTTTGGCCCAGGATCCCTCAGTCACATGACTCCTGTGCAGTACAGCTCAATGAAACACTCTGCAAGGGCTGCCAGCTCACCCAATTTTCCATGAATTAGGTCCTGACACTTCAATGAGAGGAAAGACAATGTCTGAAACTCTGCCAGCCCTGGCTCCCGGCCTAGTCCGTGTCATAGAACTTCTACCAGCTACACTTAGACACAGCACTTCATGCTTCTCAGGCCACCAAACAAACAGACCCTTGAATGCTTTCAATGCTGGTTGTGGTTAGGACTGCCAGGATATGTTCCCAGCCTCTGGCATACAAGAGCTCCAGACTGTGCTGAGAAAGTTTTGTTGTTATTTTGTTTTGTTTTTATTTTTTATGAATGGCTTCAGTCAAAAAAATGCAGACTGAAGCATAATACTACCACCATTCATAAAAAAGGAAAGGAAACAAACTACTGGCTGGAACACTTCTTGGACACCAAACAAACTGTATGTATCTTATCTCACTCAGGCCATCTCCTAACTTAGAACTCAGTGTTGACATCTAGAAACCAATTGCTTGGGAATCTTGGCACTAAAAGCACACTGGGCCACTGCTTCTGAATAAGAAGGGAATAATACCAAATGTGCAGTTAATCTTTTCTGTGCTTAACTGTGTGTTTCCATGAACTTTAATAAATGGGTGATATTTTACACATGCATTTCCTACATAGAGGCAAAAATACTTTATATTTAACATCTGCCCTTTTGTGACTGGGAGGGCCTGAGCTTTATTGTTTTCATTTTCTCACAGGGAAACTAAGGCAGAAAAGGAATTAAGATAATCTCCTGAGATCATTTTTTAAAACTAAAACAACTTAAGTCTATTAATTCCCTTAATCCTCTGGATAATCTCTGGAGGAAACCTGTTCTCTTAGTTTTAAAAAGGAAAAAAAAAAAAGGAAAGAATGAAAGGAAGAAATAGAAAGAAAATAAGAAAGGAAAAAAGAAAGGGAAGAAGAAAGATAAAAGGTAAGAAGGAAGGAAGAGAAATCAAATCTATAGCCAATCCAAAAGAAGCTATACTTGTACTCCTTGATTTTGATTCCACGTCCAGATTCACCTTCCTTCTTCTGTTGTCCTCTGTTGGATTTCTACATTTCTTTTTTCTTAAGTTAATTTTTATCGTAAAGGTGTTGTATGAAAGGCTACAGTTACCCAGGTCAGATAATGAATGCATTTCTCTTTGAATAGCATCACCTCTTCCCTCATTTTCTCCTTCCTGACCCTCAGTTTCTTAGTACTCCCCAAGGGCATGCCAGAAGAAAGCTGGTGGTTTCTTAAGTAGGACCCAATGCTGAACCAGCTAGGCTACTGATGAGAAGTGACTCCCACCAATGAGAGACCTGTAAGGTCCAGTTGCCCCACCTTACTCAGAGGTTCTTCCTTTATTAGCAAGAGTGGAGGGTTTCAGAATGCTCCATATCATATCCACCTGTCTAACTCTGTCTATCATCTATCTAATGGGGCTTGCACTCAGGGCTTTGGCTTTCTTTTACCCCTTCAGGGCTGGCATTCTACCACTTGAACCACTTCTGGCTTTTTGATAGTTAATCTAGATAAGATAAGATAAGATAGATAAGAGTCCCATGGATTTTTCTGCCTGGTCTGGCTTCAAATTGTGATCCTAAAATCTCAGTATCCTGAGTAGCTAAGATTATAGGCATGAGCCACCAGTGCTTGGCAAGTCTAGGTATTTAAAGCTGATTCTTAGACAGCTAAGCTCTCTTTCTCATAGGCATTGAAGGAAAATCCTTTACCACAAAGAACTTAAACATTCACAAAGAACTTAAACATTAGTGGTTCATTTTACTACTAATCTGAACATTAAATGAAAATGTTTGAATTAGGCTTAAACCTAAGTTGTTTTTTTTTAAATGAAGTAACACGTAAAGTAAGGATGATTGTTATGCAAAGGATCTCAAATTGATCATAGAAAGGAAGTAGCCCTTCAGCGCCCCCTCTTCCCACACAAACTTCTCCCCCCCGCCCCCATCTTGGGCTTGATCTGGGGGCATGGGCGCTATCCCTGAGCTCTTTTTGCTCAAGGCTAGGGCTTTACTACTTTGAGCCACAGCACCATTTCTGGTTTTCTGGTGGTTAATTGGAGAGAAGAGCCTCATGGACTTTCCTGGTGGGGCTGGCTTTAAGCCGCAATCCAAAGACCTCAGTCTCCTTAGTAGCTAGAATTACAAGTGTGACCCAGCCACCAGAGTGCTGCCAGTGGGTTCTTTAAATAGATAAATCTTTGAGTTTTACGTGTACAGCAAAAAGTTAATCTAATTATATCTTTTTCCCCCTGCAGCCAGTAATAGATGTTGTTAAAATCAAATCAGCATTGTTCAATCTACAGGTACTTCTGATTTTGAGCATAAACTTTTCACAAGTAGATTGGTTTTCCTTCTCACAACACTACAGGATAAAACAGATTCCAATTTACTAGAAAGGACTTTTAAACCCCTAATTTCTGTGAAAGGTAAGAAGGTTCCTAAAATATAACTTTGATTAGTTCACATCTCACAAAATACCTCCCACAGTTTTTTTTTAAGTTGTAATTTAAATATGCTATAATTTTTAAAATGTTGCTCTCTGAACTTGGTACACACTTCTAATCCCAGCCACACAAGAGGGTATGGATATGATGCGAGCTCAGAGCAAAAATACAAGATGCTAGCTGAAAAATAACCAAAGCAAAAAAAAAAAAAAAAAGGCTAAAGTGTAACATGTGTGGTAGAGTGCTTGCCTGGCACATAA